TACGTGAGACTTTACCTCTACTCATGGGGAGTAAGTTTCACCAGTTGTCTGCTACCTACGGAGAGGATGGAGTCTATGGGGTTGCTACCACAGTACCGTCATCATCTCTCCATAATAGTCCAAAGCTAGCGATGATATTCAAAGAGAAATCTGGGAGAGTAACAACGGTGGATAATGACAAACAGTCAGTGCACCACATTGCTTGCAAACTGATCATTGGCAAGTGTTTAACTACTACAACACCAATCACAAGATCACGAATTGCCCCTTCCCAACCCAAACTAAGCTTACAGTAAACCAAGAGACCAACGACAAGTAGCATGTGAATGGGTGGCATAAATCTAATAAAATCTGACCCCATAAACAAGGTGGCAACAAAAAGACATGTAAATACTACCTTCAACCCAAGCAACAGTAGCAATAAGTGACGGTGCCTCCATCATATCAGCAACATCCTCTTGGATTGCAGTACCAACAACACCAGTAGCCACCCTTGGCATATCAATATTCTTCAATGGTACAATAACAACCTCAGCGATCTCATAATCCGGAGCAGCCCAGGCAGGCGATTCCACCTCGAGCATTTGTTATGACTCCACAAGAAGCCCATGAAGCTCCTAAGGTGGTGACAAGTATTATCTTTATTTTAAACCAATTAACAAGGGAATTGTTTAACTTTAGAACATCACATTCATTCATGTTATATCACATTGCAATTAGCGCATTGGTTTATTCAATACATTCACATATCACATTAATTATGTCACCTGGCTCGTCCTCGCCTGTCAACCAGTGGTTTCATGATTGTGTTATTATTAACAAAACGCATATATAAGCTACACTCATAATCTTCTCACTAGTTGAGTTGAAGCAAAATTGGGTATGAATTTGGAGACCAAATTCTTTCAAGGGGAGTAGTATGTAAGAAAACCAAAATTTCCTTTTTCTTATCCAATAATCTTGCTTGGATTGCTTATCTTTCTAATAAATTTCCTTTTTCTTCACAGATTTGAAGCTTTCCTTTCCTGTTTTAACCGCTCTGCCACTGCCTCTTTTTACTATTTAAGGAAGGAGGGTTAGGGCATTGCAAAGTTCTCCTCTACAACCCCTTTTTTGCTCTGTCGATTTTGTTCAAAATCATTGCCCTTTTTGTCTAAAATTTTGCAATACTATCACAATAATAGCTAGCTGGGAAAGAAACGACAGCATCGCAGCATACCACGACCACTGAAGCTCCTACCTCTCTCCTTTCGTCCGCTCTTACCCGAAACCAGTGCGGAAAGTAACATTTGTCTTTCTACCCATCCACCCACTTACGTGCTTAAGCCCGTCTAAATCTCACTTCCAATGGATTTTTCCTAACCCTGAATTTAAGGAAAACATAGAAGAAATGAGATTTACGAAATTTTATATTTTAAAAATGTTTTTTCTGTTTATTAGGGATAAGTGTTATGCATGTAAATCCCTTAAAATTTTATTAAGAAATCAATTTTTCATCCCCATTAAAATAAAACAAAACAAGACATTATTTTAATTGTTAGTTAAGCCAAGTTTAATTAGCTTCATAAATTCTTACTTTTAATAATAATAATAATAATAATAATAATAATAATTTAATAATAATGATAATAATAATAATAAAAGGTTGATTTGATTGCATTTAATTTTATATATAAATAAGTTTAATTTCATAATTATCTTATCTTAACTTTTAATTGATGTAAAATCGATAGTCGAAGCATCAAATTTGTAAAGGTATCATGTTTGTCATCTCTAGGTAAGCAACTCTTCTTTATCATGGGATAAGCGTATCATTACTAGTTAGGAGAGTTATCATAGCTAATTCTATTAGATTCCTAGCTAATTGTAGGGTTGTGATTCATATCCTTTTAAATTACGTTCATATATTTGCAATAGTTTTTATTTTGTTCATATTGACCTTTATGCGAAATTAACTTTGTTTGGTTGTTGTTTAGCCTAGTGTTTAATTGTTCACATTGCATAATTTCAATATTCATTATTTCTTTTATAGCTTGATGTGGTAAATCTTTTTATTTCAATTTCAAAATTGTTTATAAATACTGGTGAACATTTTGTGGTTATATTCTCTTGTGTTTTTACAATATTATTATGTCGAAATTAAACCATTTTGTTATGGCTAGCCGGACAAATGGGTTCTCGGAGAAATCAATGGATTTTCATAGGATTGATGCATACATTTCCTTATTTCAGGTGCAGTAGTAAACTGACTATATATATAAACTAAAATTGTATTATCATAAAGTGTTGAATGATTGATGAGTCAAATCTATCCAAAAAGACTTGATATTGTAGCATGTAAATATTTATATAAAATTGCAAGTATTTAAGTCAATCTTGTTGATCATAAGCATGTGATAATCTTTGCAAATTCTATCAGACACAAAGTAATCGTCTTTATTTATTGGTCATACTACATGTCATATTTTTATTGATATTTATGTCTTTAATAAATAGCTGTTATTTATTGTGTGTAATTTTCAAACTCACCAGTTAATATTTTATATAACAAATTTCACACAACCACTTACCGAGTCGTCTCCACCAGAGCAGATTTTTCAATTTTAGATTTACTTCGGATATTTTTTAATTCGTATTAGTCATTGTAACTTTCTTTTTAGGTATGGGTAATTGTTTGTCTATTTTAAGTTTAGTTTCTTAAATTTATCTCATTTTCTTTCAATTGTATCAGTTGAACTCTTTATTTATAAAAAAAAATTTAATTTTTCTTATTTCTTTCCGTTATATTCTACATATCCTTTTTCTTTTGAGAATACAAAACAGATTTTATAATTTTCGTCATTACCTTTGCTGTCAGGATATACCACCTTCCGGAGTCAAGTTGTGACAATTTCAACAGCCCAATCAAAGGCAAAAGCATATGAGAGAATATTATAATAAGATATCCTCCTTATGCAATAAGTTAGCTCTTATTGGTGCTCAAGTTCATGACAATGATGCGGACCTTTAACTGACCCGCTACCCGTGACCCCACAATTGTGGGATTCCTCAAGAGGGATCAAACCCGCCATGCGAGAGCTTTCGCTCAGCAAAATTATGAGAAACAAGCAGGATTCACAATCCCATCTAGTTCCTAAGTGGGAACCAAGCAGGATTCACAATCCCATCTAGTTCCTTAGTGTGAACTGTGGATTCCCGTGCCCAAAGCACCATCTAATTACCTATTGTCAACTGATTTATTCCATTTCTTTTTTTTTCCTATTTCTATATTTCTAGTTAGGTTTTTTCCTATGAGGGAACTATTTATATATTTATTTCTCTTTTTTTAGGGAAACTTTGGCTATTTTTATTGTGTTTGAAGACATTTTCTTTGTTCTATGCTCTTCGGAGTGTTGTATCATTTTCTTTCGCAAGTTGTGTGTTTGTATCTTGCTCGAGAACAACTGGTGGAACCTTCTTAACCTTCGTACCACACTGTTTCATCATCAGCCTCGTTGTTTTCAGCAGAAACAGTCGTCGATTGATGCAGAATCACATCCCTTCCAAATGTCATCGACCACCCATAATCCACTTCCATTGCAATCACACAACCATCATCCTGCTAAAACCAATTTTTAAACACCTCAAAACCCCAAACAGTATCATCTGGTATGAGAGGAGGTTATCGATTGAGCAAGCATGCTCACTTTGTCCCTCTACGTCATCCCTATATTGTCGTTTCTATCACCATTGTTTTTATACAGAAGGTTATCCATTTGCATGGAGTTTCAAAATCGATGGTGTTGGATCAACACAAGGACTTCTTGAGTCATTTCTAGATGGAGTTGTTTAGAATGCAAAGAATCATATTGAATAAAAGTACGTGTCAATCACAAAATGAAGGATGGTCTTAAATTGTTAATCAAAGAATGGAGATTTATTTACGTTACTTTGCATTTAACAAACTCAAATAGTGGGCTAAATTGCTACCTTTGGCAGAGTACTGGTACAACATTTTGTATCATATAGCTTCTCTGACCACTCCTTTTAAAATCTTGTATGGTCATAATCCACCCCATTTGCTGCATTATGGAGAGAGTACTGCGTCAGTGTCTCTAGTGAATCAGTATTTAGAAGAGCGGGTAAAGAGTGAGAGAAATTGAAGGGATATTTATTGAAAGCTCAACAAGATATGAAGAAACAAGCAAACAAACTTCGAAGGGATGTGCAGTTTGTAGTGGAAAATAGAGTTTATCTAAAATTTTGACCCTTTTGACAGAAGACATTGGCAAGACGCAAGAATGAAAAGCTCACATAGGAACGAGAAGTTTTCCTCACATTATTTTAGTCCTTATGAGATCACTGAGTACATTGGTATGGTGGCTTATCGTTTAAAATAGTTGTCTTCATCAAAACTTCATCAAGTGTTCCATATATCAAAGTTGTGACGTGCTATTGGTGATAATGTGCTCTCTTCTTCACTCCCTCCTACTTTGATTGAAGATATGAAAGTTCTCTTTGAGCTACTAGAGTGAAAAGGAGTGAACCAAGAAAACATAGATGGAAAATAAGTGTTGATAAAATGAAAATGCTTGCCAAATTATGACATCACGTGGGAGCCAAATGAGATCCAACAATAATTTCCTTTTTCTGCCTCGTACTCCACTGAGCCGAGTAATTTCACTGAACCCACACCGAATCCACCAAATAATTTGAAGACCTATTTTAGAGGCAAGACTAAAAAAACAATTTAGTCATTTGTTAGTTTTATTGTTTTGTCTAAAAGGGAAATATGTTTAGGGTTGGGGTACATGTGATTCTGTCGAGAGATTTGACCTACCTCTAGAATTGTAGGTCTATTTTATTTGGGTGTTTGGGATTGTGTTGTTCTGTGCAAGTGGAATAAAATATTTTATTTCGCTCTAATTTTTATGGAAATTTGCTGGTTCCTATCATGTAATAAATAAAATTTCATTTCAGCTTTCAGGTATTTATAAGAACAATAAAAAAAGAACATTTACCTTTCAAAATTCCAGAAATAACATCAAATGTGTATTCCTTTGTGAAATCAAGTGGTTCTTTGCAATTAGGAGAAGGCCATAGATCAGGATAAGCAACACCCCTGCACAAATATATGACAAGAAGATGAAAAAATGGAATTCAAAATGGGATTAGGCAGATGTATGCTCCAAACACAATCCTTTTAAACCGGCATTTCACATGAAATTTAACATTTGAAACTGGGACCAAAAGAGAAAGAAAACCAAAGGATTTAATGAAGGGTAGTGGATATGTGATCCTAACCAAACCAGTTTATAAAAAGCAGTTAACCCATGAAGTTCAACAATATGCTATATCTTACTTTTAGATGTACAAAATTTCACTATTGAACCACCAAAAATAGTTACGAGCTTGATTTCCCTAGCAACATGCAAGATTATCTTCAAGTTCATGTAAAAAATTAATAACTTAATGCCTATCAATGTTATTATTGAAATTTTTGAACTGATTGGCAAGGTTCTTATTAAGCACACTATAAGCCACGTTTCACTTCTCTAAACAATATAATTGGTCTTGAATATGATATTATAACCATCTCTTTGTCTGAAATACATCAAGATGACAAGTTGAAGGACCATACCATGACTCAGTATGACCAGGGACATCGATCTCAGCCATGACATGAACTCCTGAAAGAGAAGAGTGTATGTTCAGCAATTAATTTACATTTTATCCACCTATCTATAGCTATTTCAGGGCATCTTGAACAAACTAGGTAAGAAGCTATCAATATGCCAAAATAAATGATAAGCAATAACCAATAAAATTGCAAAATTGATACACCAGGAAAAAAGTTTATAGCACTTTGAAAATATCCAAGTAGAAACTAAAAGCAATATCAAAGTGTGTTAAATTTTACAGTTATGTAGCCATGATATATTCAAGCACACCTCGTCTCTTTGCAAAACTTTCATCCATGAGGTGCATCGAGCCAAGACGAACCACAAAAGAAGAAAAAAATACAAAAAAGATCAGTTAGAGAAAGTACATGTCCAGGTGAAAGGAAAACAGCAAAAAACAAAAAAACAACCAAATAGTGATCGCTAAGAATAACTGAATGAAATTTACAAATAATGTCAACATGACATTCAGAGATCGCACATAACAGAATCTGCACAGAACAACTTATAAAATACTTTAGCATACAAAAAGTAGATATGTAAAAATATGATAATACATAAGAATAGTTCTTGCTTTGTTAAACATTTCTAAGTTTAATACTGAATAAAATTCCGTCAATAAGAAATTATCCGTCTAAATTTTACATTCCATCACAATGGAAATCAAATGACCACCAATCGATAGTAACTAAGTTCGCTTCAACCCAGTGCAAATACCTTAGTAGAATAAAAATTTTTGAAACAACCAAGCCATGTTTGAGTCATATAATTGAGACTGTTCCAGTATTGTGTTCTAATAATAATACAAGTATAATGCAGTATTTATGCAATAAAATCACCTAATAGTTCTTCAGAAGTTTAGTAAGACAACAAATTTGGGTATTATTCTAAAGGATGATCTATCCTTGGGCTATATTCTAATAAATACACTTTCTTATTAACCTTACAAAATGTCCACAATATTGCATGTGCATGCTCTTGTTTCAAAAGAAGTTACGGTGATCAGCCAACTAAAACAAACACTACTAAAAAATTTGAGATTTGGCAGCATTTGTTTGCAGCGGTTTCAGAAGTGTCTCTAAAACCCATTTATAAAGGCAGTTATAAACCGCCGTAAATTATAACACACACACCCCACCCCACGCCACCCCAAAACTAAACCTCATAACATTGCTTCCGCCAAGTTCCTTCATTACCAATTGAGGCTTCGCATACGAACCCTAAAGGCCACGACGAAGAGAGGATGTACACAAGGATTTCATTGGTCATGAGCACCTTCATAGAGTATGTACACAAGGATTTGGAGTTACTTCAACCCACTACTTTCTACACGGTACTACTACCACCAACGAAAGTAATGGAGGAAATAACTTTGCTCGAATAGTCGGAGTGGAATGGGACATAAAAACTATAAGGCATGATATTTGAGACTTCACTTCATTTCGTGATGAGATAAAGAGGATTTATATGACTTGAGAGACGACATCCAGCACTAAGTCATTCACATATACATATATAATATGCACGCATAGATTACAACAATAGCCATTAGAAATATATAATGGAGCTTCATCCGCAGTGAAATTAGAAGCAATATAATCCACTATTCAGAGGAGCTTTGAGCTCAGGAACGCATATATCTCCAAAAGAGTGAAAATAAAAAACAATTTGACAGTGCTTTTCATCCATTGCCAAAATTCAGAACTCCGTCCATGACCTTTGTTGTCAAAGCATTTTTCAGGTGAATATCTGATTCTCAGCATTAACAAATGCATTGTTGTTGAGCCTGCTGAAGAGCTATTGTTTCCTTCTAATTAATTAATACTCCTTTTAGCATGCTTAATTTTTTTTACTTTTTGCATTTGTAGCATGCTTAATTTTTTTTACATTTTTGCATTTGTTTTACATTTTTGCATTTGTTTTTTAATGAAATCGCACTTTAAAGAAAGGTATTTTCACGTTTTGTTGCAGATATAACCAGTAGAACAACTAGAGAGAATTTGAGTGGAATTGAAGCGAAACGGAGAAAATTGGAACAAACGGGGTTACCAGCAGGTTGGCGCCTAGCCACTGCCCCACAGCACTTTGGCGCTACAGATAACGCCTGGGCGCCAAAGTTCTCCCACGCAAAGCTAGACGCCAGAACTGTCCAGTGCGGTTTCTGCAGTTGGTAATGTACGAATTTGGAAGTTAAGAAGTCATGGAAACAGCTCAAACGAAGAGAGGATCATTTGAAAGGTCTTGGAGAAAGCTTAAGGGTGCAGAAATCGAGAGTTTAGAGTTTGGTTTTACATTTTTCCCGCATTTCCTTAGAGAGAATTGAGAGAATATTGTAAGGGGTTATTGTTAGCAGTGCAAGAAACATTTAAAGATCACTTGGGGAGGAGTTTACACTTCTTTTCTAGGCAGCAAGTTAAGTGTTTCACTCTACATTGTCTTGTATTAGTTGTGAACTCATTTTATATGAATTTGCTCTATTATAAGATAATGAATTGTAGTGTTTTCTTCATTCGCTGTGAGTAGATCCTTTATACCTTTTCCTTGTGATGAATTAGTAATATGTGTAGGGTATTTATTTGTATTTAGCATAGGTTTTTAATCACTAAAGTGATGGTTTTACTTTGTACTTCATTTACTTATCATTCTGGCCAAGTGACATGTTAAAATTTGTTGTGAATCTTTAATGACTCGAGAGAGCTATAACTTTAACAAATAGGAGAAACCACATTGCATTAATGAGTGAAGGAAAAGTAATCCATAGGGCAATGCAAATTGATAGGGAAATAGACTTTGATGGGTTCTAATTAGGTTTCTACAGTAATAGGCAGAAACACTAATCAAGTTTAAACCAACTTCTTTATGCACTTGAAAGAAGGTAAAGAATAGGTTTGTTCATATTTTTCACTTACTACCTCTATTCTAAATGTCCATTCCTATACACATTACTTATGTCTTTGCAAGGGAATGGTAGTTTTCTTATCTCGATCTTTCTCGATTTCATTAGCTTAGTATAATTAATTTAAGAGTAAATCAATAGGTTTAGTGATAATTGGATTAACAAGCATAACTTTGATCAGCTATAATTCCAAGCTAAGACTCATTAAAGTAGGCTAAAACTTTCCATAGGTGTAAAATCATAGCTCTTCTTGTGGGATCAATAATTCAGACTCAATAATCTAATATTACTTGACCGATACATACACTTGCGTGAAAATCCTAGTGTGTAATGTTACATTATTGTAAAACTCAAGTTTTAAAAGTTATAATACCTATTCAAGATTTCAAAATTTTCATCCAAAAGCACTAGGTTAAATCAGAGTTCAATCATTAATCACCTTTAAAATCATCATTGCAACTGACCCATGTGAGTTGTTACCAAAATCACTTTACTAGGTTGAGTGCTCCTGTCAAATGTCATCAAAGACAAGTAAGAACAACTTAGAAGTCACCAGTTACCTTGAAAGAAGACTTCTTTGACGTGCATCAAGTGAATCTAAATCAAGCATCATTATTTAACGTACAATATGCTAACAGCTTGGTAATGAATGTCATGCCTCAAGTCATTGAATTGATCACGAAATGAAGAATTGTCTCGCATCTCATGTATCATAGTTTGTATGTCCTATTCCACTCTTACTACTCAAGTAAAGTTATTGTCTCCACTACTTTCACCGATAATAGAAGTACTGTACAGAAAGTAGTTGATTGAAGTAACTTCAAATCCTTGCATATGTACTCTATCAGGGTGCTCAGGACCCACGATATCTACGAAAACCCTCTCAATTGTCTCTGCATATTCATCCACAGGTGTTGGATCATCTTCTATCAAAAGCTCACAAGCGTACATCTGTAGACAAGTAATTAACTTATAAAAAAAAATTAATCATTACAAATAAAAGAATATCTACAAAATAATAATAATAATAATACTCATTGGAGTCTAGCATCCTCAGATTAACACGATCCATCCTTATGCTTTCAACTAATATTTTCTAGTAGTAATTTATCTTGAATGAACTATATAACATAGTAAATGAGAAAATAATACATATCAATGAATTCAAAAAATAATCTCATATATTCTCTTTCCGTTTCCTAAGAAAGCTTACTCGACCCATTATGTGAGGATAAGTTTGTTTCTCAACATTTTCTCTATTATATGCCCTCTCCTTAAAAAATAAAATTTATTCTTAAATAACTAATAGTACAAAGCAGAATAATAAAGCTAACTTGATTGTCTTGTTTTGAACACTCACAATTGCACAGAATCAACACCCGTTGAGACAACCTACAAAATTTCTTCTATCGATTCATTATCTCAATGTTGTGACTTCAGGTGAATTTTATAATTACGTCACTTTACCCCCAAACAATTTAAGAACACATCCTCTAACGTGTCCAAGAAACACAAATTTTAAATGTATTATAATAAACATATAAAGATTACTAAATACATAGCATAGTAATAAAAAATAAAAAATAATGATAATTAAATTTCTTATATTAATTTTTGCTAACATTTTTTTAATGGCTCTAAACCTTTATTGTGTCGGTCTTAAAATGATATTAGCCCTCGCATTGAATCTCTAGTGACAACTAGAAAAGAAACTAGTAGTGTGGACTCTGGAATGTTGCAAAGCACGTCATTCTCATTCATCTCAATATGAACACAAGTACCTTGAGACAAATTCTAAATATCTATGCAAGTAGTAAACCCCCTATGCTTAATTAGAGCGCCATGATCATTTATAAAAGTGAAGGAGATTATAAAGATACTTAATCATAGCATTAAGCATTAGAAATTCATTTAAAATAATTTAAATAATAAAGACATGCCAATGAGTCAAATAGCTTCATCTGTTTGGAAGTTTATTGTTCAGAATTGCGAAATAATTATGGTCCTGCATTTGGCGTGACGCTTTAGTCTTGCTCCTGTGAATTAAAATGGTTGTATGTAGAAGATGGATCCAAGGATATAGTATTTTCTCTTCTACTTGGACCACCTTTGGATATGACCTTTTTAGTATATTCCAACAACTTACTTCTTGTCATATCTAGAAACATAAGAATCGTTAATACATGGTTTATGTAAAAAAAACATAATAATGATTGTCGATGTTTGGCTAGCTTGCAAATACTATAATCATGATTCTTTTTGCAATGCACTATAATTATAAGAAATTTAGAAAGCCAATAAAATGTGTTGTGATATTAGAAAATTATAAATCAGGTGATAGTAGTTTAGCATTTTTTTCCTCTTTTTAAGCAAAAAGAGAAAATACAAACAATATTTTCAAGATTATTTCGGAATCACTATTCATTATCATAAAGAACCCATGTGTTCATCAGTCTATTCAAGTATACTGGTTGAACTGCATCATCCATTCACAAAAGTTTGGAATACAATTTCTACCTAGAAGATAGTTTATGTGTGGCATTTAATGTTTTATATTTCCTAACTATATTATTAATAATAGAGCATATCATAACTTTAGCAAAACAACTTACTAAAATTTAAAACATAAAATACAGCTGAGTTAGTCTTACTCCAAAGTGATGCATTTTTAATCTCATTTCAAAATTCACATTGCCAAAAGTTTGTAAAATTTCTTAAAACTTAATAGATCTAAATTCATGCATGTAAAAGATAGAAATAAAGATGTATTAATCAATAGAAACATAATACAACTAAATTCATGTTATATATGTTTTTTATAAGTTAATTAAATTCATGATATACAAGTAAACTATTTTTAATATTCTAACATAAAAAAATCAATAATTCATAATAAAAGATCATGCATACTTTATAGTTTGTTAAGAAATTACAAATAAAAATATAAGAGAAGTAAAATCCTACTCCAATTAAGATCAAAACTGCATATAATATAGAATGACTATATAAGTTCAATACAACTTTAAAAATTTATCTCATTTTTTCTCTATTAGAGGTTATGCTATAATAAAAAATATATCTTTGTTTTACTCTTATAAAAACTTCTAATTTTAATTTTAGGATCTTGAACGTAAAACACCGGCTCCACTTGAGAAAAGAAAATAAATGGACCATGCTCTATTTTTTCACCAATACGAATTAAACGTAAAAAAGTTTACTAAAACAAGTCCAAATTGGTCTTTCTCAGTCTCAATAGTATCTGTGATCGGCCACTAACATTTGAGCAGGACAACCTGAAATAAGCTGGAGTAACTAATATCAATAATATCATACAACGTATGATATTATCAATAGAAAATAAGTTGGAGTAACTAATTTTGATTTCTCTTATTATCATCATAAGAAAAGATATAAAATTTATTAACATTTATATAAAATCCCTTAGAACTCTACGCAACTTTGTTAAGTTCAATTGCAAGTGTTATAATTTCATCAGGTAACAAAGGATTATTGACTTTTTAATCTATAAAGAATAATAAGCTGTATTAAACAAAATACATTTACATTTCAACATGTTAAAAAATGTATTTCTTGATTGAATCACTTATGAGATCTTTCGTTCATAAGTTTCTTAATATCTAAAGAAAAAAATTTATGTGTATCTTTTATTTTGCTCACTACCAATAAAGGTTTATCTATATGATGATATATTACCATAATGACAAAACATGTATCTATGGGTTTGCACTAAAATCTTTCATCCAAGAAAAATTTTGTAGTCCGTTCCAATGAAATTTCCCAACTACACAATTTATAATATAATTACTCGTTTAATGGTCACTTTGTACTCATGAGCATAAGTGTTATTTGAGATCCCTTTAAATATCTAAAATAAAATTATATTGTTTCCTCGGTTATATATCCTTCTACAATTGACCCCTCGGGTTGTGTCTTATTTCCAACATATTCCTTGAGCACCAAGAAAAACTGATAAATTACATTTTTATCATACACGGCTCAAGTTAACTTGAAGAATAAATCTTAAAATTCTATATATTACCTCTCAAATTATAACATCTAACTGTAATGCACTATCTATGTGATGTAGGACGTATAAGGTTTAGCTTCTTAGAGTAACTACAATAATGCAAAGAATATATATCACACAAAAAAATTTAGGATTCACACAAAACAATCATAAAATAACATAAAATAAAAAACTCACTTCCTTAAATACAGATAAGAAAAGACCAGATATAAAGCCTAAATGATAATGCAAATTTTGAATAAATCTAAAAAGATCAAGTAGAAATTCAAACAACAAAATCATTTAGCAATTTCAAATCTCCACCTCATTTAAAATTTTAATTGCATAAACTTTAAACAAAATCTAGAACTCCAGCAAGCCGATAAAAAATTATTTGCAAGAAATTAGATAAAGTAAAAAAAAAAACACCCAAAAAAAATGCCAAACATAGGTACAAAGCAATAACTTTCATTGCAATTATATAGTCACATTATGCTGCTTTTAAAAGGAAGCACACATCAAACATGTAAAGAAGTTTGAAAATAAAAATAAAATAAAATTATTGAATCCAAAGGCTGAATAATTTGGAGCATGGAAAACTATTTATGGATTTCTTAACTCCAGATCAATAGATATGGCCGACAAAAAATTATCTCAAGTCAAGACATGTTAATAGAATTTATGTGCAAATTTTAATTTAAAACCTAAGCAAAAGTCAAAGAAAATACTTAAAAATTAGTTTTTGTAGCCCGCATGCCACTTAAACAATAAAATGAATCGCGAGTGGCCCTTTCAAGCAGAATCCTAAGCAATAGACTGAACTGCCATAATGCTGTGGGATAACGTGATCCACATTAGCATGAAACCAGAAAAATTGAAACAGCGTTGATGTAAGGGAATCATATGTATAGAAATTAGTTGAAGCCAACAATAGGGGTGGACTCCAGTACTATTCAATTCAAATAATTAAATAAAAGCACATTTTATCCTCAATTTCAGCACATAATTGAAGCTTCCTACGAATTGAACTTGGAACCAAATTGAAGCTATGTCAAACCATATATACCTAGTAATGGGGTACCAAATTAACAGAGAATAACACCTCCATGCTATCGTTACCATATAGACTAAAATAGTAAAATTATGTGGCATTCAACCACTAGGTGTTCAACTTCTAAACGTCAGTAAATGCAATCATGATGTAAATTTAAATTTTCAAATGAATTGTGGTTTTATGAAATGTTGCAATGCTTTCACGTTCAAAAGATTACTTGCAACATTAAACAGAAAAATAAAAAATATATAAGAAATAAAAAAAATATTACTTCCAACATTGTACAAAAGATTACTTGCAACATTAAACAGAAAAATAAAAAAAATATTACTTCCAACATTGTACAAGAAGTATATCAAAGCTTTCAATTTGCAAAATAACAGATACTAGGATATTAACTGCATTCATCAACAATGACGATCTATTTTTTTCTGATGGTTTAACAGTGTACTAAAACATTTTAAGAGCTTAACTCAACATATTCAGATATTTTTGGGCAATTTCAGGTATTCTGCAATCATAATATATAACATGGGAAGCAACACCATGGTGAATGTAAATTAAAACAAAAAAATCGGCATACTCAACAATTTCATAAGCATCCTCAACCGTGTATCTCTCCCACTTCGTATAAGAACCCTCCCATAAATTTGGATAAGCGGGTACCTCTAAAGGAAAGGATTCTTCGTCTATGATGTGCCAATGCAGAACATTCTATTGAACAAAAACAAGAACACTAATTAAGATAAAATAGTGATAGATTATCCAGAAAACAATGAAAAACTTGGATTTAAAAAAGAGAACTACTTACTAGTTTAGCATAAGACATGGATTCAATTACTTGCTTGATGACGTTTACAGGTAGGAAATGTCTGGAGCTGTCTGAAATGATATAGTGCATTTATATTTATGTAAGTTCTTAATATCAAGCACAAAACCTCCAGACATAAACAAATCAAATTTGAGGTTAAACTATTTCTTTACCAAGAAGCAACCCGCGGAAGGAAAACCGGGGTTCATCATAAATGTACCATGGGGCCTTATTCACTTCTACAGTTTTGGTTTTGTAATTAAACGTAAACAACTGGCTCAAAGTCTGGAATTTATAAAGATCAGTTGAAAAACAATTTAACAGCTTTTATACAAGGATAAAAAAAACTTGTTCGCAAGAAGGAATATAGAAATAAACATAAATGGCAATGTGGCATGCCCCATATATTACTTATTCATAAATATCAAGTCAACAATAAAAGCATCTCACCATCATGCAAACTTGCAAAACAATATAAACAAGCACTTCTTAAATATGTGCTTTCAGTATCAATACAACAGTGACATTTTGTTTCAGCCAAGCAAAATGAATAAAGAATTTTCTAAATCATAAATATTTGGAGTGTAGCACCCAATTTGTTTGCCTCATTAGAGTTGTTTATTGCTTTAAAGTCTTGCTAAGTCTACTTGTGGAACTTAGCTGGTCAGATTTGAAACGATATCTCGAAGAAATCGGTTCAACGTTGATTCGTAGATCAATCTAAACTCTTATAGAGTGTTGAACTACTTTGTTCCCTAGTCGGTCATATAGGAGAAGGCCTGGTCGAATAATCCAAGAGCTACAATAAAATCGGGGTCCCAAGAAAGCCCCAAGAGTATTCAATATCCCTGATCAGATTCCTTAGACTCCAAAAGATCCTAATTTTATTACCAATGCCGCACTAACCATCATCGCCTACTCAACAGTCAAGCCCATCAAAAGACTTAAAATGTACACTTCATGTACGAACTGGCAGCCACTCTCAGATGGTTCTATGGAGTGCCACAAATCATCATCTCTCCCATGCATCATAACGAATCACCAGCCAACTAAGCATCCAATACTTGCCATTCAATGCCTGATCACTCTAGAACTTGCCACACAGCCCACTATGCATGTCATCGACAAATATGGTGGTTCGTGGCTCCTGCTTGTTTTCCACCCAAACCCTTCTCAAGCCAATAAAGCGCCTATAAATACCCGTTTGTGGGCTTCACCAGCAAGAAAGGTGATGAATTCAAAACAAACTATAACTTTGCAAGATTGTAACCAAAGAGAGAGGGAATCTGATAAGAGTGGGGTTTATAATCATCTTCCTCAGATTTAGTGGAATTCTTCCCATCTCGCCTTAGAATAGATGTAAGTTGCTAAATGGATCATTTAAAGATCTTTGTGTAGCAAGTATTCACTCTTTTTGCCACTCTTAATTCTAGCTTCTCAATTCTCTGAATGGTCAACACTTCCTTTGTTAGGAGGTAATGCAATTTGAACGCTCAACTTCCCCGTTAGTCACTTTCAATTAAAACATTCCTTCTCCATTCACGTAAACAAATCAGGACCTACACTAGTGAATACACTGATCATCCTTAACTAGTTCTGACCGGTCACATATTTTGGCGCTCTCGTTGATGCAAGCTCAATTTGGCTAAGAAATCAATAGAAGAGTGTCCGATCTCCTGTAGCAAACTACCATCACCATCGTCCTCATTTGTGCTCCCTAACAAGAACGACCATAAATGCCCACCCAACAGACAATGATGTTTCTAATTATATTAAAATTCATGGAATTTTCCTGTGTACTACCTAAAAATGGCAAAAAGGTAAATTAAAATTCAATTTTAAACTATACATCATTATTTGCACCTTCCGAAAATCACCAAAATTACTTTCATAAACTTCTATTATTTTGCTCATTTTGATACATAGAGGTTATTTGTATTTAAATAAATTCCTAAAATTGTAATTAATCTTAGTATCGTGTTTATAGAAGCAGTTATTGTAGCGGCACTGCAGCAACACAGAAACACCGAAACCAAAACCCATCTATCATGGGAAGCAACGACTGAATCATTTTATAGGACTGAGGTTGAACGTTTAATATATATATATATATATATATATATGTGTGTGAGTGTGTGTTATATATGTGTGTGTGTGTGTGTGTGTGTGTGTGTGTGTGTAACAAACCCACTTGACAACTCACCAACTCCAAGTTCGTCATTAATAAGCTCACTCTGATAGTGGGTCAGCACAATTCAACGTTCGAACATTTCATTGCAAAAAAGGACCCATCAACCATCATTGTAGTGTTGTAGAGTGTGTCAAATTTTACTTATATCAATGAAATCATGATGCATCTCCTATCAGCAAAGTCCCAACTTCAGCTGCATCTCACCCTCAACAAGAAACTAATGACGCTGCCGAGAGAAAGCCTTAATGAACATGTCGGTTGTTTGAAGATCAGATGAGATATGAGAAAGAGAAATGACAGCATTATCATAGGCTTCTCGAATAGAATGACAGTCTACTTCAAAGTGTTTCGTGCGCTCATGAAAGACAGGATTAGTAGTAAGCTGGATAACACTGGTATTATCTGCATAACGAGAAGTAGACTCAATTTGAAGACAACCACGCTCAGCCAACAAACCCCGAAACCAAATGTTCTCAGAACAAGCCAATGACAGCGCAATATTCAGACTCATTAGATGACTTAGACACTCGATCTTGTCTCTTAATCTTCCAAGAAATTAAAGAGTTGTCGAGAAACATGCACCAGCCAGTAATAGATCAACGTGTATCAAAACAACCAGCCCAATCAACATCACTATAGATTGTTAAGCGAATAGGAGACTTCGCAGAAAAGAACAAACCACGATGATAAGTATATTTCAAATATCTAACAATACAGCTTACTGCAGCTAAATAAAAATATGTAGGTTCCTGCATAAATTGACTAACTTGTTGCACAGCAAATGAAATATCAGGACGTGTGATGGTTAGATAATTGAGACTCCCAACAAGTTGTCGATATAGAAATGGATTAAATAAAAAATCATCCTCATTCCGTTGATATTTGACATTCACTTCCAAAGAAGTATCAACAGGATGATCTTTTTGAAGCCCAGCCAAAGCAATGAGTTTCATAGTATAATTATGTTGGTGAAGAAAAATGCCAGCAGGAGAAGAGTGAACTTCAAGGCCTAAGAAATAAGTTGAAGAACCCAAATTCTTCATGTGAAAAGAACCCTGAAGACGCTTGAAGACGCTTCCCCTGAAGACGCTTCTGTAACTGAGACATCAATTGAGTATCAGATCCTGTGATGACAATATCATCAACATAGACTGATAAAGACAATTCCCTAGTCAATCTTGCAAAGAAATAATGAAGAATCATACTGAATTTGAGTAAAAGAGAAGCTAAGAAGAGTATTACGAAACTTTTCAAACCAGGCTTGTGGAGCCTATTTCAAACCGCATAGAGACATTTGAGCTTACAAACATCATGAGAGGGTGTAGAAAACAAGTCTGGAAGAGGAGTCATATAGATATCTTCTTTGAGGTCTCCATGCAAAAATACGTTCTTGACATCCATTTATCGTAAGGATCAGTTTTTAGATGCAGCAATAGATAGGACAAGTCGGACAGTGGTCATCTTAGTCATAAATGAAAAGGTTTCTTTATAATCAATCTCATACTCTTGTCGATTGCCAAGAGCTATCAATCGTGTCTTATATCTGTCAAGAGAATCATCAGATCGAACCTTAAGGAAATAAACCCATTTACAGTCAATGAGTTTAATGTCTGCAGAACATGAAACAATATCCCAAGTGTGATTGTCTTAAAGTATTTGAAACTCCTCTTGCATGGCTTTTATTCAAGAAGCTTATTTAGTGGCCTGAGAATAAGATGTAGGAACTTTAATATTAGTTAAAACATGCAGAATAGCCATATCTATTTGGAGGACGAACGTGCCAAGTTGATCGTCGATGAATCATTGGAGCATTTTCAGGGGCAGGGTCGGGAATGACTGGAGACGAAAGGGCCAGACACCGTGTGTAGAAAAGGTCAAGCTTGAATCGTTTATCAAAAGAAGAAACATCAAAGTGATGAAGTATAATAGTGTCAGATGTCGAAAGATGATGCTCAAAATAGTATTCATGTTCAATAAAAATCACATCCCGAGAGATAACACCATCGATTATTAATCGAGTCAAAACACAAAACCTTTATGATTATGACTGTAACACATAAAGGCACATCAAATAGACTGGGCTGCCAACTTATGACGTTCATGAGCAGGTAAATGAACAATGCAAACACATCTGAAAGTATGTAGCATATGATAATTATGATATTTATCAAAAATTCGATGGGAGAATCAAACTTCAATTCTTGATATGGTAAATGATTAATCAGATAAACTGCAGCAAATAAAGCTTCTGTCCAAAACTTAGCTGGAACTGAAGATTCTAGCAACAATGTGCGCACCATATCCAACATATGACGATTTTTCTGTTCGGCAACTTCACTATGCTGAAGTGTATACAGATATGAACGGTGCGAGATAATAACCTTGTTATGAAGAAATGCTTAAAATTCATGAGACATATATTCATCACCATTGTCAAACCGTAAGGTTCATTGAAAGTGGAAAATTGAGTTTCAATATATGTCACAACGGTTTGAAACATGATAAACATTTATGCTTTAGAAAGCAAAAAATAGATCTATATGAATTGGTTATAATCGTCAATAAATGTCACAAAATTTTTAAATTGAGCTGTGAAATAATCAGTATAATTCCTCAAACATCACTATGAATAAAATATCAAACATTTATTGGCACGATTGTCCAAAATAGGAAAAGGCAATGTCTTACTTTTGCCTAATTTACAGGAAGAACAGTTAACTAATAAACTTTTATCTATAGAACCAAGAGCACCACTTTGCAATAAATGATTTAAAAAACGTTATTTGGATAACCTAATCGTCTATGCCAGAAGCCAGTCTTATTTTCAACCATTGAAGAAGCAAATGACAACGTCCGAGGAATCGAAAAATGTAATAGAAATAACTTATCCACTTTAGTCTGTTTTGCTATCTTCTTTCCCAACACCTGACCCTACACAGCACAACAATCATGAGAAAAATGTACATCACAGTTATTATCCACCATTTAACAAACGGAAAGTGAGTTCGTAGATAATTTAGGAGAAACCAAGACATGTCAGAAGAAAAGGCAAATATCACCAATTGTCGTAATTAGAATATTATTTTCATCAACA